AAACGGCATATATCAAAAGCATCGAATGTCGTGGTGCAAAAACAATGGTAACACAGTGAGAACTTAACTATCATGTGATTCGGTGAATCACTCGCACGTGGGCTCGTATAACAGACAGGCTTGTAGGCGGTAGGACGATTCATAACTTCCAGAAACGGCATATGTCAAAGCCATCGATCGCCGTGGTGCAAAAACAGTGGTAACACGGCAGTGGCTCGGCTGTGTAATTTGGGGAATCGTTCGCACGTGGGCTTGTATCACAATAGGCTTGTAGTTCGTGGGATGAGGCAAACTTCCAGAAACGGCATATATCAAAAGCATCGATCGCCGTGGTGCAAAAACAGTGGTAACACGGCGGTGACTCGGCTGTGATGTGGGTTGGGGAATCATTTCCACCTGCATAGGGCTCGTGTTACAGACGGACTTGTATCCGGTAGGGCGATTCATAACTTCCAGAAACAGCATATATCAAAGCCGTCGATTCCCGTGATGCAAAAACAATGGTTACACGGCGTAATTTGGGAATGATGCGCAGACGGGCTCGTAGTACAGACAGGGTCGTATTGCCGGCAGGGCGGTTCATCAAGTCGGATGGTCAAGATTGTATTCCGCACGCGAAGTAGGAGCGATTGTCGGGAACGCGGTCTCTGTGGCCAGGGTAGGGACACTCAGGCATATCGCAATGGTGACCAACGACGCTCCAGAGGCGGTGTCGCTCTGAAAAGGGGCCAGACGCGCCCTGATATGTTCTGAGAAGGTACTGTAGTCAATCCCTCAGTACTGAAAGCTTGTGCGTCTCTACGATGAGAGTGCGCAACCATGTGTATGGGGTCGCATGCTACCTTTCCCGAGAGTCCTGTTGCGCATCTTCCATTAATCAAGGTGAACTGGTGACTTCAGGCGCTCGAAGGCAGACGCAGAGCCAGCTCCTTGCCCAGGCCCTTCTTCTATGTCTATGTCAACGTACAAGTGAGCGCGTCGAGAAAATCAGAATCCTTCAAAAAGGGCCCCATATTGTGACTAGCGCCCCGCTGACGTTCACCGCCCTCAAACGGCACCAGATTCCCCCGCTCGAAACTCTGCACGCTAATGGCGCAGAATGGGGAGGCCTCTGCCCGTTTCGGTGCACTGGGGACGAGGCTTGGAGAGGCATATTCGACGTGAGATCTTCCCAAAAGATCACAGCGGCGTGCGGCGGCGCTGAAGACCTTGGGAAAAGTACCCTGCAACTGAGAAACCCCCACAATTGACACCTTGCGACTCCAACCGGAACATTTGTTGCCCTACGACTTGAGCTGGACAGAAAGATGACGAGGATGCGCAGGGATAGTGTGACGGCGGCCTGCCAGGCTTTCGAGATCCTGGTCCGAGGCATAGGCCATATACACCCCTTCCACACTTTCGACGATGCTGGCCTGTACCTTGCCATTCTGGACAACGAGAAGCGTTGCGAGTACGACGTTCTGGACCCTGTCTAGGCTTCCCGCAATCCGGCTGTCCTGACCGGCCACGATGCTGTCGGTATGGCTAGGTCTGGAAAGGCTGCAGCCTTCCTCTCACTTGGGCACAACATCGTAGGTGGAGGCAAGACACCAGGAGCACACGGATGTACTCAGTCTACATCAACGGGTAGAACATCTCGAAGCTAGTAGGTACGGTGCGGGCGAGTGGGCGCGACGTCACCATCATCATAACTCCATCGACCGCTTCGCGATCTCGGCTGCGACACATTCGGGTGTCGATGAGACCCAAGGTGAAGACAGGAGGACATGTCCAAAGCGTCGCTACATCACCCAAGTCTCCTACTATTGCCTTCCATATCTCGAAGAAGACACAGATGGAACTTGCGGCCTAATCGTGTTTCCTGGCACGAGGCAGGGTCAGATGCAGTGAGGCAGCTGAGAGGTTAGGTTGGATGGAAGTCGATTGCGCGCGGGATCTGCATGGCATCAGTCGATGTTACAGATCTGGGTGTGCGCTTGTTACTTGGCATGATCCTGGTAACAGCAATCCTCTATCGCTAAAGGCCGTGAGCTTAGGTCTGTTGGCTAATGAGTGCGCGACTGTTCAGGGTGTTGGTGGGCGATTGAGCGTCCTGGGTAGTGGGCACCGAGATCGATGCGCAGCGTTTGGGGTTCGCCGTTCGTTTGCGATCGGCCCAAGCTGGATGGAAACAGCCGGAGCCGGAGACGAAGCTCTGCCTGTCGAGCAGCATTGTTCTGAAATGGGGCTCACAGACGACGCGGGGACTGCTTCTGACGTGGAACGGACATTCAAGGGAGTTGGGGCCAGTTAGGTGTTGGAGATGAGACGATACCATGACGTGGACTGCGCATAGCATAGTATCGCCGGCAGACCTTTGCGAAGTACGAAAATACGGAGAAGCCGGCAACGGAAGCGCATGATGCGGTAGACAGCGTGTTGGTAAATAAGAAGAGCGATGGTGAGAATATCCCGGTTCAGCGACTCGGTGAACGATGTCCACGCAACTGAAAGAAGGGCTCATAGCGGAGTAGGACAATCTGGCTTCGCACCAATCGAACAACTCAACTTACGGTTGGGGGAATAGGACAATGTCCAGTAGGGTCGCTCTTGGGACAAATCACGTGCACTAGGCGGTGCGCGGGAGACATGCCGTTGGGAAGGCGCATGACCGCGAGCTCACAGCGGCAGGCACGCGACAATGGCCGGTGCGCTCGCGAGCGTTGCGCACAGCGAAGGAGGTGTCGTATTTCAGCCGCTTTATGAACCGTGGTGTAAAATGAGAACACGGTGTCTTTGGAATCCGCTATAGCAGAGCCGCGCGCGTGTTCACATTAGCAACAAAAGCTGGGCGATTGCTTGCCTTGTATGAACCTAAGTTTAGTCCCCAGGCAGCCGTGTCTCTGCCTTCGCGACCTGTCCATCCTGCTTCATTCGCCACGGTCTTCAGCCCAGTACCTGTCCATGGTCCTGGACTGTCGGCCGACGACAGGCCGAGGCCGCACGCCGCGAAGTGTGTCGAGACGGAAGGTTTGTTTGGGATCGTCGGCACACGTTGGGATTGCTGCCCATGGGGTGAGGTACGCTCGGACGATATGGAACAGCGCGGTGGAGGTGCAGGTGCAAGGGGAGCCAGGAGCGGATGGGAGCTGCGTAACGAGGCGAGGTTGCGGCTGCGGCTGACAAGAGGCTTTGTGTGCAGGACGAGGTCTAGTCGGCCCGGATTGGGCGCGCCATTGATTGGCTCCCAACGCTCGCACGGGCACCAGCCACTGCAAAGCCACCCCGCCAGTCCCGCCACACGTTGGTGGCTATGGCAGCCATGGTCCGAGTCGTCGTCTGTTGTCGACGCTTCAGCATTTGTTCAAGCGGGCTAAAGTAACGCCAAATGGAATTGGCTGTCGCGCGCGTTCTCTGCCTGCCCAAAAAGAACCACTAGCTCGCCCACAGGTCGTGATTCCATCTGTCGCCCGCATCCTCCTCAGCCCCATGTCACCTCCCCGAGTTGGTTCCGCTCCACACGCACTCCTTCGCCCCCTGCGCCCCCTGCACCGCACTACCCAACGCATCCAGTGCCCGCCTATTCCTCCGCGCGCGCCACGTCGACGGCCCGTCCCATGTCTGGTACCCACGCGCGGCCTACCCTGCCAGCACGCCAGCTCGGCACCCATCCCCTACCAAACGTCCATCCAAGCCCACTGTGTCACAACTCGGATTGACGCCATATCTCACCCAGCACCCCGTCTCGAAAAAGGCAAATGCGAGGAGCGCCCCAATTGCCGTTCCGTGCACCATCCAATGGGTTGTACCTCGCTCCACATCACGTAACATCCTGTCCTCCAGCTGCCTTGCTCGTGTAGCCCCCACGATCGCGTATAACAGGGAAACCGACAGGCTGGAGCGATTCCTGATCGTAAGCATAACCATGGGAGGGAGAGCGAGGAGGACAGTGACCAGGACTACGCGGACGAATGCGGCACTGGAGCATAACCTTTAGCACGAGATGGACGAAAGGAATTCGACGTACCGGTTGCACACGAAGCGGATGATGTTCAGTGCCAGAATGGGCAGGATGTGATATGTTAGGAATGAGACTACCGTTGCGGTCGCCATTACGCCCATTCCTAGGAACTCCATCGTAGGTATTCTCGAAGATGATGTGAGACACGTTGTGGGACGAAAGAGAACGTCGGTATGGATACTGAAGGACCACAAGGCCGGTGAGAAGACGGGATGTCGAGAGGAAATTTCGACGAGATGACGTGTCAAAGACGGCAAGCTGCAGGCAGCCAAGCACGAACGACCACTTCCCCTTTGCTGTCTCACTCAGGAGGCGCACAACTCTGCGTCCACGCTCGCCCTCAAATTTCCAGCGCGATAGGAATCGCCTGCGACCTCCTGTACAACGCGGTTTCGTTTCACAAGTGGATCGGTCCGTCACGTTCACGAAATTTCCAGCTCGCCGTGTGCATGGACATTGCCACTTTGCCCTCACCGGCAACTTCACACCTTCATCACATCCTGGTCCCCGCTGAATCACTCCCTGATTCACTCAGCTAGTCTCATCAACAGCTTTGCATCTTCGTCACATCTTTGCCACATATGATGCACCATATTCTCCGTCGCCGAGCAGGGCCAGCCAATCTACGGCCCTAGATGAAGCCATCACCCTCGAAGAAGTCCTGGACCGTCTGCGTACGCCCAGTGATCACAATACTGCCGAAGATGTCCCGAAGCGTGAAGGATCGTTGCCTTCATTGCGCGAACATAGGAATTGCAACCTTCAGATTGACCTCGTTCGAATCCGATCATTGCCCCCTATCACTTCCACTCTTTGGGAATGGGAAGTGGACATACCCGCCTTGGACCCGCATGGTAGTCTTGATGATTCTGAGCTGCGAAGGTTAGCTGGTCCACAACAGAATTCGTCTGGTAGTCCTGAGCTTGGCTCTTTGGCCGCGCCCGAGTTGAGCCCGCCTGCTGGCCCTGAGGTGCAACGGTTGGCCTCTTGTCCCAACATGGCTGACATTGATGACATCAACGCTGTGCAGTCTCCTCTCGACTTGTGCAAGTTCTCGCATGTTTTTGGTTCATCCGACGACGATTCCAACGATGCGGGATCGGGGGGTCTGGCCTACGATCTCATCGACGGCACCGACCATGTCACCCCGTCTCTGCCCACCCTGGACGAGACAGACGACGCCAAAACTACTACACAGCCTTTGTTTCCTACCCCTCAACCCCACCGAACCCCCAAAACATGGCCACCATCCAGAACTAGCACGACCATCTAATGGTACAACCGCTTCCAAATCCATAATAAGTACTACGTCAGCGCCGCCACCGTTGCCCTCATCTCGCGCGACGCCTCCTATATTCTCACCTCATTGTCCGACCCCACCCACTCCACGCCTGCGATTTACGCCAACTACATCACCTATATGGCAACGCCGCAGCCCACGAACATTGCCACCACCGTCGTATCGCTCGTCATGCACCTCTTCTTCCACATTGCCGACGGCCCCAACCCCTGTCTCTGGACGGCGGTTCGCAAGGAAGGCGGCCCAGGGCACGAGTCCGAATTGTATGATGCCATCCACCCGCATCTACTGGAACCCGCCGAGCTCCATTGCCGCGAAAGGTTCGTGGAAAAGGTCAAGGCCTGGCGCAGGATCGGCGCGTATTACGCGTTCTTTGCACGCCAGCTTAGTCTTGGGGCGCTGATTTGCGTAAGAGACTTATTACACCCTACGGACATAAGGAGCTGTGCGCGAGGCAGCGACGACCATTATGATGCGTCTGAAGAGGCGGATATGCGCCAACCTGGGAGGGACGCTAGCCTAATGAAGTATCTCGAGGACGAGGTCAAGATTCTAGAGGAGGCGAAGACGAGTGGCGCAGACGAGGTCATGCATGCGCTATTATGGGATGTGTTTAGTAACTTTTTCTTAGGGTTTGACGGCGATGGGTTGGGGGGGACTTTCGGGTGTGGGACGGAGTTCTCCAGGGGGGAGAAAGCGAGAGGGCTTTTTCCCGGGTTCGAGCGGGATGTGGAAGGGGAGTAGGAATGTGGAGTAGGCGTTTGGGGCTTTTATTGCGCCAGGAGAGGGTGGAAGAATGAGTACTATACTCTTGTAGACTTGCCACGATTGCATATCTAAGGCTTGACTCTGAATAGCTGTGTCAGTGCTGCTATTGTCCTGGACTATTTCTCCATTACTAGCTTCCCTTCGTAAGAATTACATCCCGTCTCCTAGTCTACAGACCGAATTACATTTTTCCTACCCCATTCATGCTCAAATCACACCACGTCAGTGCCTTCTAGTTTCTCTACCAAATTCTGCTGAGCACGTATCGTCGCACGAAAAACTCGTGTTGGTTCGCGTAGTACGAGGTAGTGGTTTTCGTGGCCAGTGTTCGATTTACAAGAGGCTGTAGACAGGTGACAGTGAATCGAGGGCAGAAACGACACAATGATTCAACAAACAGAAGAGCATCTCAGACATGGAAGGTGGTAATACAGTAGGTAGTAAGCTTTACTTATGACTCCGCCCCGTTTACAGGTTGTCGAGGATCGCGTCAGAGTGTGAGCTAGGGATTGATGAGATCGGGACTTACTTTCACGGCATCGACATATTCGAGGTGGGTAGGTGCACAGCTAATTACACGTCGCATGTGGAGTGGTGCTGTATTTTGGCTAGAACGATATCGTCTTTGCACAGAGACACAGCTGTACATATTAATCCAGCTGGGCTGAAAGGCCGAAGAAAAATAAGCGACTTGATTCGACGATGGACCATACTTTCTACTAGTTTACCTAGTAATTCAGGGATGTTGAAAGATCTCGCTCGCGTGCCGCACGTTTCTAGCAGCGCAGGCGAGTAGCAGCGTAAGTCGTTAAATTCAGTGTTCGTGCAGCGCGCAACAGCTAGCTACTGTGTAAAATGGCTGCGCTTATATAACTCCATCAAAGAAGAAGAGTTACCGCCCTTGTTCTAAATAGCAAGGTTCGGCATTGGGCTATCCCCACGCGCCGTCGCCCCGCCACGCTGAGAGCCGGTGTAGCCCAAGTGGTCACCATCTAGTGCACTCCTTCGTGGTAGCGTTGGCTGAAAGACGTCCAAGTTTAGGCAAGGTAGGGCACTGATTAATCCCAGCAGCTTGGGGCAGCGATCGACGGGGGTAGAGGAATTTCCTGATCAAGTAGCCTGAAGGCTGTCTGGCGCGAAGAATTGGGAAAAGGATTCTAGTGCGCCGCATGAACTGCAAATGGGGGGTGGAGTGGCCTTACGCAATATAGTGGACGGTGAGCTTCTATTCGAGCTGGCGGCGGACGTCCGAAATTTGGGACTGATGCGATAACCGTGACACACTGACGTTAGCGCACGCCGTCATACATGTGGGTGCGTCGCCTATCCACTGATGACCTTATCCTACGAGTAGTAACTGCACTTCATCGTGATGTGCTCTATCCCTTGCACTCATATCGCAGAAGAAGACTTCCAAGGTCTCGCTAAGGCCTCGCTTTCGCGCTTGTGCACTGCTTCAACTACAGCCTCGCCTGCTTCCGATGTCACTGTGACCTGCCGGACCCTCGATGGTGGCATGCCCAACCTAGGTCCGTGTACCCCACATCAAAACCTTGCATCCCACTGATGCATACTTTGGTGCCATCACACACTAGTTCCAACATTCGCCATGATCAGTTCGGCTAGACGGTGGTTTCTTTTACGATCTATTCGCTCCAACGCTCAACTCAAGTAACACAAAACAAGAGTCGAGTGGCTGAGCCTTGTACCTCCATCACATAACCAAAATCATGCCGTTCGCTGCCACTTTAGCTTAGCCACCGACCGTCCCACGCGACCTATCCGAAATTCGTCTGTCTAACGACATCTGCGATCTTAGCTTTGGTGCTTATGGGATAAGAGATGCAAACGCTACATAGAGATCACTTTTCTCACGTAACGTTGATATTCAGACGGCCTTCATGGCCGCCAGCACCTCAATTAAGACCTACAGCAGAGTGCACTGACGAATGAATAGACTTTAGAGGGGATCTCAAAATCGTAAGCTAGCTAGGAAGTGAGTGGCCTATAGAAACATACGTATTAGGGATCAAGCACGTGTACTAACTAGGCCGACCTCCTGCTCTTATCAATGCGGCGCCAGTGCACGTGCAGGAATGCAAGCTGACTTGGACTGCGTAGACCAGCTTTCAAGTTCTTTAATCCGTACCTGTACCATAATTACCTGCTTGAGTATGGCGAGCCACTAGTAGCATTATTAATGAAAAGATTTTTCGAACGATAGAGTTGATGGAGAGCACGCGTGTTTGGCGTTGATATCCAGTAAAATTACCTAGAATCTAACAACAGCTTCCTCATGTACACATCAACCCAGTGGCCGGGAGCCTTCTCAACAGGCAAGCATGAAAGGTTCTGCCCCGCCACCCGGTTAGACAAGACCCCTACCCCTACGAGGGCGTGGCGTGAGACGACCGACGACCGACGACCGACGACCGACTACAATTCCAGACCACTGGAACCGAAGGGATTGCGTTGAGTACAGCATCCTAGGCACCATCGTTGTCCTCTTATCGAACGAACCTATCTGGCCCGAACTGAGCTCCTTCGCAAAGGTGCGAGCCCTGCACATGGGAATGGTGATGAATCCCCAACCCGGTCGCACAGCATGGGATGCCTCAGAAACTGGCGGCGGAAAGGAAGAAAACGCGATCCAGCGTATCATGCGCCGACGCTATAGTAGCTCCAGGTAAATTATGCCCTCCAGCCGCCTCCATTCCAGCATTGAATACACTGACAGATTTGAGCTCTAATGGTCCCAAGACCGCCTCATCAATCGTTCACGTCGCCTCATCGACTCGCGGACCCCCGACCACCAAAGTTGTAGCAACCAAGATCCAATTGCTCGCACACATCGTCGTCAACATCAACACGTCCAGACTCACGACGATCAAAGCACCCCCCATCGGAGCATCCGTATCCGCAGCACAGCAGCATCCTCTTGCGCCCTAAGGCCCCCAGAACCCAAGCTCATACAGTATACCCAGCGCCATGCAACCTATGAGCTTGTTGCCGTCGCGTTCGGAGCGAGCCCACATCCATCAAGCAACCCAGCGCCATTGAGCTACCAGAGAAGGCCAACATCGCAGACAAAATGCGTTGCCAAAGTGCGGCTTGCCGTTACACCTGGAGGTGCTCGCTGATACATTCTGAGATCCCATTCGTCCTACATCCAAGGACTCGTCACGAGCCACATAGAAACGTCAAGAGAGACCTTGGAAGCGCCGTTTCCGTGAACTCTCACAAGCGGTAGCCTTCCTCCTTTGTCAGACACGGCGACATTTATCCGCGTCGTCACTACGCGCCACGCGAGCGTGCAGACGCTCAAAGCGATTCAGTACTGCGTTTAACCACAAGGCCATCGACGTAGGTGGAGGTGGGTCGAACCTTGATGTTTCTCATCCACATCGTTCTGTGAGAATTACCCCCGTCGGTATCTCCGCCCTATTCCACAGCATCCATAATCTACATCTGCTAGCATAGAGCCATGCGAGGTTCTGATATCGCACCTCGCTGTCATATAATCTCTAAGCATATATTCATATAGGATTCAGTGATCTTGAAGTAAAAATAGCAACGCAAGTGCAGCTCCGAGGAACATGAGAAATTTAATTTCATAGCCGCCAGAGACCTCCAAAACAGACGTACAAGGGGAATGACAGGGGCTAATTCAATTTGCATGGTACGCCAGGGTTGGTAATTGCAAGCGACACAAGTGCATCATATCAACCGCTCGACTCATCTTTTGCATGAATTGTCTCTACGAGTCGCACCCACTAGTCAAGTCGCCGCGCACGCAAGTCATTCGCGCTTCTCCCACAACTACTCCAGGATCCATATATTGGTAATAGACTAAAAGATTCCTAGAGATCCATCATGGTGCAAACTACTTCTTAATACCATAATTATACCATGGGCCACCACCAACAGCAGGTGGCAACCAGCTCCAACACGGACCACACTTCCACTTAAGACCAGACAACACTCCAGGGGCTACCACCGACCGAACTGGTGCGCCAGATTGCCTCCAACGACCGCTCACCATTGGCACGGAGGAAATAGACGTGTATGCAACTTAACATATCCTCCATACCACCAGCAGTCGGATCCAAGGTACTCCTCCAATCAGGGTGATCGTCCTCATGCAGAATCTCATCACTCATCGTGACCGTGAGGAGCCCAATGTCCATGTTGAAGTCCGCTCTCGTGACATATCGAGACTTCACCAAAGCGACCCAGGCGGGGTCGGAATGGTGCAGGAGCTTTTCCATGGCCGTCACCGCCGTTGCGAACCAGCGGCGAGATCGTTCACGGCGATAGATACTCCACCGCATCTCGATGCCCAAGGACTCCCAATGCGTCGGGTCGGTCTGGGAGAGCTTCTGGGGGGTCTTCCACTCGTCGCCCTGAGCAGCCCCAGCGATCTCAAACACAGTGGACGAGTTGAGGCGGTGGTTGAGGCGAAGGAGTGGAAGAACATCGTATACATGGTGGATCTCACTATAATAAAACTTTCCAAAATCCGGAACAAGGCGCATCAATTTAGGTGCCTTATCGGGGTGAGAGGTTGCGGTCCTGATCCATTCACCAAGTTGTTCGAGTGGGAGGCAGACTTTGGCTTCCCGCCGTTGGACTGGCCACTCCGGTCAGTAGGGTATATCCATGTCATAGCACGGTGCTTACTAGGTAGAAATTCGCATCGTATCTGGCGGCAGACCCGGGTGAGTGCGGCATAACTTCCATCGGTGCGGCCTGTACGGTGGTTGATGGAAGCCACGGGGGCGGTGGCTACCAGGTCGTAGACCTTATTGCGCAGTTCTGCTGGAGAAGTTAGACATGCCATTGCAAGATTAATGGAAACAACTAGCCTGCGGGAAGATTGAGGAATGAATTTGCCATGGGAGCGCACTTGGAAGCTGTTGCTTCAGGTGTGCCTAGGTGGAGTTGATGGAGAGGCAATGCAGTTTGGTTCCACGAGTACCATGGGCAGTTTATATACGCTTAGGGCAATGTGTTATCCTGGATGAAACGCTTTACCACCCGTGTGACAGGTACAAACATTCGATGCCAGAAGCGTCTTTACAACTTCCAAGTAATGGATCATGTGGACTAGTTCATAGATAGATTGTAATGTGAAGAAGTACATGCAACCATTGGGAACGCTATAACCGAGCAACGTTGGACCGACATTAAACATCTGTCGACTAGAACGTTGTGTGAACTGATCCCACAAAGTCCTCCACACTATGGAAGTTGTTTGTATGCTTTCGCGGCTGATGACCTCGGCATGTGATTTCTGCTTTTGCAGAAGATCATGTGACGAGGGCATAGGCAAAGCCAGAGACACATTCTATCCGGCACGCATGATCGATCTCTTGCTCATCAGTTTTCGCGAAGCGGCATTCTGGAATCTTGCCGACTCACCTGACGTGATGGCCAGATGCGAACGTGCCCTCTCGGGCTATACTAGAAACCCTGACAGAGAGTGCGCGCCGATCTAGAGACATTTAAACACTAGATCCAACACGACGACGATGTCTGGTTGCTGTAGTAATGGGGCTTCCAACGTAGCTAGCACCGGCGCGACAAGCACGGATTTAGTCTACTATAGGCAAGGCGTCTGTAATAAGTAGGCTTCTGGAGCATACAGTGAGAATCGACACTCTACACACTCAGGTGCCCAAAATCAGACTTCACTAAATTGTAATCTAGGCGGTCTCTGCGTTCCTGCCATTGCATATTCTACCGCTCGGAAACGTTAGAGTATTTGGTTTGACGGCGTCGGCAATTCTATGCATGCCGGCAGTGACAAGCAATACACAGCAATATGCTTCGGGATCACTCTAATGGGTCATCCTTCAAAGTAGACTAGCGACCTCTAGCTGCTTAATCTCGTGTTTACTCCAAAAGAATCTTATATACGAAGATGGTCTACTGCCTCAAGCCCTGCCGAATCCGTCTCCACCCAGAACGAGAACATGTGTCTACAATCACATTCTCTGTAGAAATTAACTATGCGCTGTCCGGCGGGAAGAATATATCACGATAAAAGGCATGTTACGCTTAGTGTGCACGCAAGATGGATGAGTGTATATTCTCCTTCTCAACGCCGTGTCCAAAGTGCCATGCCATTAGACGTTTAGATGTTTGTTGTCGCCTGTATGACTGGCAATTCAGTCATTTAACAGCATAGAATCGGAATACCTAAGGCCTCGTGAGTGTTCCCTTCAAGTGGGCACATTTCGGGCCCTCCAATAGTAACTGACGTCATGCTTGCAGCACCGACGCTAGACACTTGGATGCCAGATATCTGGGAGCTATGGTCAGATTGTCTACTCTCTTGGCATTCCTTAACATCACCGTGATACGAGGGGCTGCCAGTTCCGCGCAATGTCTTATGAGAGATAGGCTAATGTGTCGACCCCCACTTGCGAGCCTTCCTCAGTAGGGAGGCTTCTCTTGACGTTGCTTGAACCCCTTTGGTGGCCTTTTGAAACTGCAGAGGTCTTCTTCATCTCGGCGTCAGGATGATGAGTATCCTTGAGGCTCAAAGGACCGAATGTTCCTCAGATGTGGTACATTGTTTGTACCGCTGTAGACATCGCGCCGGGGCCCTTGCTGAAGGACTCATCTGCCGTATCCATCAGATCAATACGTGCGGTGGAGCCTTGTTGCAGCTGCGGGTAGGTATCAAGCTCCGCCTGCGACAGAGGCGGTTTCTCGATAGAACCATCAATCTGCCAGTCGAAGCCGTGTTGCCGTGGTGCAACGACGAGTGAAAATCCCGATCGAGGCCTGCCGTCGCTACAGAGAGGACATACTGTATGAACCCCTCGCAGACTCCGTGGAGCCCTCAGATCACATCATCTTGCCCCTTCATGGCATGGCTTAGGCCATGACACTGATTATAGTACGCACGGAAGGAAAGCCCCACAGCTTACTTCAGCAGCCCCTCAGCCGCATTCAGATGCATCACTAGGCTCGTTGGGCGCACTATCAAGGAGTACAGCTCATTCATGCAGGTTCTGGTGTCCGATGGTGGGCGGCGGAGCTAGACTCAATCGGTGAACGAAGGCTGGCGCTGCCTCTTTATCCTACAGCTTGTTGCAATGTCATAGTCAACTTGGTGCTACCTCATACCAGTCTAGTCATAATGCTACTATCGGCTTGCCTATATGGAGGACGGAATCCTATTCCTGCACTGTTGCCAAAACTCACATTCATGGCAGTTTCGTCCTAGACATCGAGTAGGGGTCCTTGCCTTTAGTCTTGATGGTGTTCAACTTAAACCACGTTGTGTTAGCAAACAAGAGAACTGTCGCCTACCTTCTTAGCTGGTACATTAGTGAGGCTTTGTTTTTCTCTTAGGCCGGATGTGTGGCCTCACTGGGTAATTACTATCTGCAACCCATGATTGGATCTTCCTGGCGTTCTGGTGCTAGAGAATCTTGATCAACGTTGCTTTATTCGACTTCCTGCTAGCTTCCCTCCACAAGTTTCCACTTCCAGCGCTGTAGAAACAATAGCAGGGTGGGTGGGGTTGCGCGAGCGGCAGGTTCCATTCCCAAAGTACAATAGAGAGCTGAAACTGGGCCGCAGGACGCACCTGGCCACGTTCGACTGCGTTCAAATCGTTGATGGACGAAGGCAAGGAGATGAACAAAGGCAAGAAGATGGACAAAGACAAGGAGGATGAAGAAGTCCCGAACGAATTGGAAGGTATTAGCGTTGCGATGGTACTGCAAGAGGACAGAACTATCATTGACTACCCCGTGCGATAATTTGTGTAGAGATGATGGTTTTTCTTTGGAAGATACTGTACCGACAGCCCAATTTCAACTACGCTACGGGCTTGATGCCGTGGCCGAAGATCGAAAGATCCTCCAAAAGTAGACTTCGACAATCGCCTTACCTGACGTGCCTCAATCCAGGCATCGGTTGGCCTGCTTCATGAACAGTAGCCTCCAAGAGCTCCCAACCATATCAATTTTGACAATTCTGACGGCCTCGGAGTACCTTCATATGCAGATGTATGATTGTGTCATAACCCTGCGGTCTTGCCATGGTTCATTGTATAAACCAAGCTTCTTCGATTGCTCTTACATGGCTCTGGAATTCTAGGAACGTCTTGGTTTGCGTTCTGCCCCTATCGTGACCTTGTAGAGCAGCAATCACAACACTGTCAGCAGGACAGGCAATAGTACCAGGAAACGAGGCGAAGGCCCCAGCCACCCTATCAATCATAGTCTGTTCCTTGATGACCAGATTTGTCGAACCTCCCAAGAGCCGCCTTGATCCCGAGTAGGGGCAGTCTGGGATGAGCGCGACGGATTACAGGGATGTTATCTCGAGTGATTCGATTACTATTTGATTTTGTCGCAAACTACGCTACAACACCGTTATCACTAACGGCTTATGTAGCTATAAAGATCACTTAATGATGGTGTTGGTAGTGGAGACCACGCAAAGTTCCTGCTCGAGAATCGGCACTCACTTGACCGGGGAATCGGGCCCGATCCCTACACAACGGCGACCGGGAGGTACTGGCCGCCGTCGCACGCCAGATGAGGATCCCTGAGGTTGAGCGATGGACTCACTCAATGTGTCCCGCGGAGACAAAGGCAGAGGCGGAGACTGACTCTGGCAGGGCGTCAACGGAATCACCACCTCGCGAACACCTGATCGAAAACCACAACGTGGCCCGCACCCACCGCACCGGGTCCTTCACATGAGCAGAACCCCAACCACAGCCGTAAATCCATTCATCCCGTCCATCAACGCCCCGCCCGTCATTCGATCCACACAGTCTATAATAGCAAACTCCCCCACCGCTTCGCAACCAACACCACACAAGCCTTCCCTACCAAACACACCCCACCATCCCCGCAGATCATCACTGAACCTCCGCGATTCCACACATCTCCACGCCTTTCCCACACTTTGACATACCTATACCACAAGAACCGAACCCCACCCTATCAAATGGATACCGTCGAGGAGCCAGAGCCAACATCCTACGAAGGACTCGGCCAGTGTGAGCCCTTGCCCCTGCGGTATCGCAGGTGGATTGGGATATCTGGCAAGGAGTGGCAGCGCAGGAGGCTTCGGGCTGTGCTATATCCCGACGAAGAAGAGGAATGGACAACCCGCGAGGCAGGCAGCGGAAGCCGCAGCAGCGACGCAAAGCTCGACGGGAAAGCCACCACGTAGATGGAATCCGCGCTCTCTGCTCATCCCGTTATAGGTAGTGCTTGGAACATTCTATGGGGACCAATTCGTTTGTGCTTGGGCTCAGTGTATGGGGAAGTCCAGCATCAGCCTCTTACTCTTGCCGCCTCCAATGGCAGGACTTGGAGGCCTCTGAGTTTGCCAGCCAGGAATCTTCAATTGCGTTCAGCTTCGCTAGAGGGGTTATGACCTATTGCGGACTACTTTCTAAGAACGAGACAAGCGGCAATGATGTGAATAGGCGACTTTGAGGTCAGAGTGTACTGTGTCGCGTTAGCTTAAGTGGGTATACGGTATCATTTGAACAGAGAGATCTTGACATTAGATTGTCCATCATGTTCGAACAAGAGGAGAGTTTTGAAAAGCAAGTATGTCAACATGACGGGACTGCCAAACGATGTGATTAGAACACCCTTCACCCCACCAGATATCCCCGTGTCTTGATGCCAGACCTAGCAGTTCAGGTCTTCACATCGTATAGATCCAGCACTCAACACAACCCACGCGGCAGCAACGATTGAAGCTTACACTTTCCCTATGACTCATGCCGTCCGGCTAGAGTTTTCCGCGAGGATCCTTAGCCCAGAGGCAGAAAGGGCGACCCTAGACTTGTGA